GTGCAAGGGCAAAAGATTAGTATGCTTAGATTTGCAGATGATATAGCAGTATTAGCATCTAGCAAGGAGGACCTAGAGATAGCTTTAAATAAAATGGAAGCGGTACTGACAGATCAGTATCTTACGAAAGTAAATAAAAGTAAAACTAAAATACTGGTATGCAAGGGAAGAAAAAGTAGGGAAGGAGCGAATATAAAGATAGGTGACGAAAAATTAGAATAAGTGGCCGATTTTCGGTATCTAGAAAGTGAGATAAGTCAGGACTGAAAGAGTAGTAGGGATATAAAGCAGAGGATAGCGCAGGGTCGAGTCGCTTTCAATAAAAAGAAGTCACATCTATGCTCGGGAACGGTTAATTTAGAAATTCTAAAAAAAGGTTGTTAAAGATGTATGTTTGGAGCACGGCGCTGTACGGGTGCGAAACAGTGGGCGCGGCGGAATAGAAAAGGTTAGAAGCTGTTGAAATGTGGTTTTACAAGCTAATGATGAGCATACCGTGGATAGAGAAGGTTAGAAATGAAGAGGTATTAGAAAGAGTAGGAGAACAGAGGACTCTATGGAAGTTAATAAGAAAGGCGAGATAGGTAAGTAGGACACCTTCTGAGGCATGAAGGTCTAGGCAAAGATATATTAAAGGCAGAATCGGTAGTTAGGAGGGGTAGAGGTAGACCTAGATTAAATTACTGTTTGCAAATAGTTAAGGATATGGGTTGTACTAGTTTTAGGGAAATACGAAAATTAGTTCAGGATAGTAAACAGTGGAGGTGCGTGTCCAACCAGTCTTACGATTGACGACCCTATGATGATGATAATGAAAAATTTAAATGAAAGCAGAGGGAAAGTTTCCAGATTTTTTTTGCATTTTCGTTACAGAATACATCAATGAATCCCATAAGTAAGTAAAATATGAGCATGGAATCTTTTTTCCTTTAATGTGGTTTAAAGTAAAGCACATACGTCTATGTCAAACATAAAAAGGAACCTTTTGATACGAACCGTTAAGTTAATGCCTCCTGAATTTCAAAGTCAACTTCAGTTAGTCTTCTATCTGTAACTTTAGAATTAGTTCCTACTTCCAGACGTTCTCATTTAAATCCGGTAATCTTCGGTTATCCGTATCAAGGAGTTGCTTGATTAACTTTGCGTTTAAGGAAGTTTATCGCTTTATTCCTGTTACATGCTCTCAAGAACTGTAATTGGCGAATATTGAATACCTAATAATCTAGTTAAACTAAGTATCTACGTGTAGCGGTAACACCGTTAAAATTAATTTTTATATTCGTTCTTATTGATTTTTTATTATTATTATTGTTTTGTAAATATTCTTCTAAATCTATTTGTAGACTTACAACTTCTTATCTTGTGCATGCCTTTGTTTCCTTTCAACCTAGATTCTATTGTTCTACTATCGTTAGCCTTTACCTAGAATTTCATCTTCACCTATACTTGCATGCACCCCTTACTAATAGCTGTACTTTCCCTTAATTACTTTTCCTAAAATTCTATATTGCTCGCTCTGAGTGCTATAAACCTGTACCTTCAACTTTACTGTTCATACTGTTCCTTCTTGAATATTCTATCTCTTTTTACTAACAATTCAGCTGTATATAAACCCCTAAATTTCCATACTTACGATACCGAGCGGCATGGCCTAGAGGTCTAGACCATTGCTTAGCATTCGGGAGGACGCCGGTTCGATTCCGGGTCCGTCTGCCTTGGTCCAAGTTTTTCTGTGGTTTCCTTGGATCACTTAGGCAAATGCTGAGG